TTTTGCGTAATCCAGGACTTACGCTCCAAGAAATTGATTGGGAAAGGTGAGATGCGTGATGGCCTGTACTACCTGCGGCTATTCGGTGTGGGCAGCGTACGGACTTGTGCGGTGACACAAAGAGCTAAGATTCCAGATGACGTGTGGCACGCCAGGTTGGGACATCCATCAATGCCGAAGTTGAAGCAGCTACAGGATGTACTTGCCATTACTTCTTTTTCAAACAAGCATTGTGATTCTTGTTCTCGAGCAAAACAGACTAGAGAGCCGTTTCCTTTAAGCACAATTCGGACCAAGGATTGTTTTGAATTAGTTCATATTGACATTTGGGGTGGTTATCATACGGCATCACTTAGTGGTGCTCACTACTTTCTCACCATCGTTGACGATTACAGCAGGGGTGTGTGGGTTTACTTACTTCGGTTTAAGTCCGAGGTTGGCAGGTACCTAATGATGTTTGCTCAGCTTGTACGCAGACAGTTTGGTAAAAGGATCAAGAGAATACAGGCGGACAATGGTCACGAATTTAATACCATTGTTCTACAGGGGTTTTATGAGCGCGAAGGAATTCTTTTGCAGACTTCCTGCACGGATACACCGCAACAAAACGGGGTAGTGGAGCGCAAGCATCGCCATCTTCTCGACACGGCGAGAGCATTGCGATTTCAGGCATCTCTTCCTTTGCATTTCTGGGGTGAGTGTATACTCACAGCAGCTTATTTGATAAACAGGTTACCTACCGTGGCGACTCACCGCACTCCTTTTGAGGTTTTGTTTGGGAAACCGGCCCCTTACACTCATCTTCGCATTTTTGGCTGTTTGGCGTACACAAAGAACACTCATAAAGCTCTCGATAAGTTCGCTGAGCGTGGTCGGGCTTGTGTTTTTATCGGCTATGCTTCGAGTCAAAAGGGGTATCGATTCTATGATCTATCCACGAAGCAAGTCTTGACGTCACGAGATGTGCAGTTTCACGAGGACCAATTTCCCTTCCAGTCACACACTGCTGATCGGCTACATTGGGTACCTCGGCCTCTTTTTCCTTCGCCAACTCCAGATTCGGATGGTGAGGAACTTTTCTTGGACCTAGGTGCTAGCTCGCCTAGTGATGCAGCAAGCACCCCCACGTTGAATGACCAACATGAGCATTCACCCACGTTACATGCTCATTCACCAGAGTCAGCCGACCACTCGGCAGCGACCGATTTGGGCAACTCGCCCCCTCTCGTTGATCCACCTGCTGCCTCGTCTCCTGCGAATAATGAGGTTTTGGCAGGGCCTCAACCTCCTCCTCCTCGTCGAAGTGACAGAGCACGAGTTCGCCCCAAGCACTTGGGCATTTATGAGACGGAGTACACCTCTCTCGGCAGCCCTCCCGACGCGGCTCAGGGAAGTTCCTCCTCTGCTGTTTACTATCCTCTCTCAGCTTATGTTTCGTATGATCATTTTAGTCCTGCTTACAAGTCATTCCTTGCCTCTGTTACTTGTCAGTAGACAGGGTATATATATAGATTGTACTCGGCTAAAGCCGATTGAGTACGTGAAGTAATAACAACAGTAGCCGGAGAGTTTCAGCTCTCCCGTGGATTAGTCCCGAACACTTCGGGGATACCACGTTAAAACTCTCGTCTCTTTATTGCTTTTCAACCGATCCTTGATATATTTCTCAAATCAGAACCCGAATTTGCGTCCCTCGAAGTTGGAAGGATGAACGAAGGAGGAGAAAGGAAACAAAGGGATGTGGGAGGCGAAGTTGGTGACCTGGCGGTGGTGGAGGCAGGGGAGAGGCAGAGAACACAAGGAGGGAGAAGGGGATTCTTGTACGAGGAAGAAGAAATAGTTTAGCGATTCTTGGACTAGTGGTGGTGAAGGCAGGGGAGAAGGTAGAGAACACCGCGTGTTGTGAGACGGCAGAAGAGGGAGTAGAGGTTGGGACGAGGGCGGATGACGAGAGAGGAGGAGCGAAAGAAAGGGGCTAAGATCTGGTGACTAAGGGGGTCCCCCTTAGTCACATGGCTAAGTGAATCTTCACCCTTGCACCTCATTAAAATCCAAGGGCTCCTATTAATCCAATTTAATGAAGGACAATATAGTAATTGTAGACTTTTTAATTTTCAATTATTAATTAATTAAAAAATCCTCAATATCTGGCGCGCCTCTTCTCAGCTGGGATTTTCGTCACCGTTCCGTGTCCCATCTCTTCCCGCCGGCCAGCAATCCGGCGTCCCATTCTCGTCCACAGGTTGCGGTAATTTTTATGGGGAATTTTCCCCTCCCAATTTTCCATGATCAAGGTCCAGAGAGAGAGTTGCGGCCATTTTTAATTCCCCTCCCAATTTTCCATGATCAAGGTCCAGAGAGAGCAATTTTCCATGATCAAGGTCCAGAGAGAGAGAGATTTTGGTCGGAAATTTTTTTTCCCGACGACCATCGTGGACGAAGAAGAATTTTCCGGTGACAATGTCAATTTTGTGATGTTTGTTGACATATTTTGTAATGTTTCTACGCTTTGTTATTTTGTAATGTTCGTAAACTTTGTCATTTTTATCCACCATGTTCGTACTGTTTGTATGTCTAAAAAACACCCGGGTTGACTTTGGGAAGGAGCCCCTCTATATAGGGATGGAGCCTCCATAGTCAACCCGGGTGTTTTTTCCCGTTCGTATGGATTGTCGGTCTAGTTTGTCATTTTTGTCCACCATGTTCGTACTGTTTGTATGTCTAAAAAACACCCGGGTTGACTTTGGGAAGGAGCCCCTCTATATAGGGATGGAGCCTCCAAAGTCAACCCGGTTGTTTTTTCTTTTTGTATGGTTTGTATTGTTTGTCAGTCTAGTTTGTATTGTTTGTACAGTTCATACGTTTGTAATGTTTGTAAATCTGTTTGTATGTTTTGTCGCTCTAGTTTGTATGGTTTGTACTGATTGTAAATCCGGTTTGTATACTTCGTAATTTTCCATAATACCCAAACTACCCCTGTCATTAATTAAATAGCCCTTCCCACTTTTTAACCATTGGATTGAAGTGTCCAGATCTAATGGCTAGGAGGGGCTTAGCCAAGTGACTAAGCACCCCCTCTTAGTCACCAGATCCGCTCTCGAAAGAAAGAGGGTAGAGCTGTAGGGCCATGCAGCGGAGAAGGAGCGACGGAGGCGGCGGTGGTGTGAGTGAGGTGGAGCAGATAATTAGTGAGGTTTAGTGAATTAGAATTAATTTTTTTATTTTTTATTTTAGTAGTAGTGATAATGAGGTGGTTATTTTAAATTAAATTAATTTTTTTTAATTGCCATGTCATACATTTAACGGTCAACTTTGAGAGTTGACTGCCACATCAGACATAGTTAACAGAGTTGGACGTAGAGTGATCAAATTTGGACGATTTTACTAAAACTAGTGACCATAAATGGATTTAAATATTTTTAGTGACCAACATGAACGTTTTTAGCAATCTCGGTGACCAACCTTGCAATTTACCTAATAGAGACCCACGCCACAATAACTATGGAGTTGAATGGTATTTCTGTTGCTGCAGCTCTTCAGAATTGGTGATTTCCTTTTATGTTGTATTTTTTCTCTCTCTCAAGTAGGAATGGCAATGAGGCAGGTCCGGGGCGGGTTTCTTGGTACCCAGACCCGCCCCGTGACAGGTCGGGTCCAGGTCGGGTAATTGATCACGGGTCGTGGGTCGGGGCAGGTCGACCCAATGGGTATGCAATTTATATGAAAAACATTAGAAATATTCGTTATTTTTATTATAAAACTAAGAAAAAAAATAATATTAGACAATTGTAGTTAAATTATTGGAGAATTTGAAGTTTTTACTCATTTACAACTTTATTATAGCTAAAATATGATGCAATAAAAGGAAAATTCTAAGTAATTTGACTAAGATTACATGTAATTTAGACAAGAACGGGTCGAGAATGGGGCGGGTCAGGGCAGGTCGGGTCGATGAGACTACCCATGCCCGCCCCGCCCCGCCCAAAACAGGTCAAACAGGTCTGGTAAAACGGGTCAGGTCGAAATTGCCATCCCTACTCTTAAGTGGATGTCTTATGGTAACGTTATAATGTAAATAAATCATCTCTCATTTTCTCACTCCTCTTCCTTTTGTCCATGTTTCCTGTAATTTATTATTCGTAAAGAACATTGTGTTTAGTAATGTGTTTTGAGTGTTATGCTTATCATTTTCCCACACCTCTTTTTTTCTTCTTTTTTTTTTTCTTATCATTCTCCCATTACAATTTAAGATTTAGGTTATAACCAAGGATTAAAATACCGTACCGTACCGGCGTTCGACCTGAAAAACCTTCTACCGGAAGCAAAACTGGTAGGCGGTATTTAGCGGTATAATATGTTTGAACCATGATTAAACCACGATTTTAGCATAAAATACCCTACCGCTGACTTTTCCGGTACGACCTCCGGTACGGTATTTCAATCCTTGGTTATAACATGCATTTTTTTCAAAGTCAATAATTGGAAATTATGAGAGCAAAAAATAATTTTGGTTTCATATAGTTTATTCGTCACTTATAAAACTGTACCGGCCAACGAGCCGGGATCAATGCTAATTAGAGGTGGCAATTAGAATCCAAATCCATGAATCCAATCCAATTCATCCACCAAATTATCCACCTAATCCAATCCATTTAAATCCAATCAATTTGATCCAAATCCAATTAGATTGGTGGATTCATGGATCAATCCATGGATCCAAATGGTAAATTACGATTTGGTACCTATATTTTTTATATTTTACATTTTGGTACCTAAAATTTATATTTTTATACGAAAAATATCATTGAAAAATTACATTTTGGTGCCTAAAATTTTTCATTATGACATTTTAATACCAAAACTTTTCAAATTTTACATTTTGGTCCAAACCTTGGATGTCATTTGAATTCATGAATCAATCCACCAATCCATTTGATTCAATCCATGAATCCACCAATCCAATTGCCACCTCTAACGTTAATGGACTTATCAACCCAATCGGCCCATCTCTTCCCAGCCACCAGACTCACTTCCCCGTTCCCCCCTCCCATCCCATCTCTGTCCTCCATTCACTCCCTAGTCCTTCCCCTTCCCCAAATCCTATCCCACTTCATCTCTCAAAGCAAAAATGGCAACTTTGCTCTTTCTCTCGTCCCCTCAACACCTTCCCAGTCCCCTTCCACCGCAAAATTCCATTCCCCAAATACCCACTTCCCTCGTCTTCTCCTCGAAATCCCATCTCCACCAGGTAATCAATTCACTCCTCCCTGATTTCCTCTGCTTTTCATTCTGTTATCGCCCATGGATTGCCTACTCAAGTCTGGTGTGATTAATCAGACTTAAAAGGTTTCTGCAGTTCCGAGGAGAAGCGCCCTGTCATTGATCTTACTCTCACCCATTGCGACCACTTCCCTCTTATGGGAATCGGCTACCGCTCCTCAATCTGCCATGGCGGCACCGGCTGATGTTCCCCTGAGGGAATACATCGACACCTTCGACGGCTACTCCTTCAATTACCCGCAGAACTGGATTCAGGTCCGCGGCGCCGGCGCCGATATCTTCTTCCGTGACCCTTATGTCCTCGACGAAAACCTCTCCGTCGAGTTCTCCTCTCCTTCCTCCTCCAGGTAAACCAATCAGCTAGAGTCCATCATAATAATGCTTGAATGACTTAGGTTATAGGATTTTGTCTTTTGGTTCAGCTAATATCTTGAGCTTGAAGCTTGATTGTGGACACTGATAGAAGAAAATTGTCAGTCTCAATTCACATTGTTATGGTTTCCAAAGGTACAAGAGCTTGGAGGATTTGGGATCCCCAGAAGAAGCCGGGGCCAAGGTCCTGAAGCAATACCTCACGGAGTTCATGTCCACTCGACTCGGCGTGCGGCGAGAATCCAACGTCCTCTCCACTTCCTCCAGAGTCGCCGACGACGGCAAGATGTACTACCAAGTGGAAGTGAACATCAAGTCGTATGCAAGCAACAACGAGCTGGCCGTCATGCCTCAGGACAGGGTTGTCCGGAAGGAATGGGACCGGCGGTACCTCTCCGTTCTGGGGGTCGAGAACAACCGCCTCTACGAGCTGAGATTGCAGACGCCGGAGAGCGTGTTCATGGAGGAGGAGAACGATCTCCGGCGAGTCATGGCTTCGTTTAGGGTCAACAAGGTCTCAGTTTGATGATATGATTGTGGGATTTCGTGAAGTTCGCATCTTTTTTTTATTTTTGTTTACTGTTTGTAAGCCCGCCCTTTGGGCCTGTTTGTTAGTCCAATTGACCTCTGTGCCGAGGTCTTCGCAACCAATTTTTTATTCTGTTACTACCTCTATATAAACAAACGAAGATAAGAATTGTGGTTGAGGATTTATCGTTTATTCCGCGTGGAACCCTTCTCTCAGGTTAGATATGTTTCCTCTTCAACTCTGTGTTTCTAGATAAAGCTCAGAGAATTAGGGTTGGGCATTTATCTGTTTAGGGTTCAGAACGGATATTGATTTAGGAATAGCTTGCTGGGTATCTTTCTTTATGTGAATCCTGAATGAATGAATGAGTTGATCACAATTGCAAATGGTGGTGTTATTGTTGTTGGTTTGCTTGGGTTGTAGATGGAAAAGGCAGGGGAGGAGGCAGGGGAAAGCAAGAAGAACAGAGGAGATCCTGGTTGCAGTATGATTAATGATGCTGGGGAGTATCTGTTGACTGACATTCTGGTGCGTCTGCCGCTGGATCAGATCTTCCGATCCAAATCCGTCTGCAAACACTGGCTATCTGTCGTCGAAAACCCTCTCTTTGCAGCTTACTACACAAGCAAGGAGAAGAAGCAGAGTGAGAAGGAGGAGAAGAAGAAGAGTGATGGAGTCAGTTACAGTGTCAAAGCTCATCCCCACCAAAGAACACCGATCCTGATTCCAGTTAACGAAGACCATGGCGAGCGGGTGAGGGAGAAGCTCAAATTCTCACTCGATTTCGTTCCGGACTTTGCACAACTGCACGGAGATACCAAGTTCTTTGATCTTCTCAATCTAGCAGCTGAGCACCAGAAGAAGGTGAGGAATAGCTGGGCATGGGGTGTCCCGAATTACTACACGTTCAGGGAATTGATCCTAGGTTCATCCAATGGCTTACTCCTGTGCGCCCCACTCCTGAGCGCGACGACGAAAGGCCCTACAGGCATTACGTTTGATGGTTTCGCACCCATTTATGTGGTCTGCAACCCTCACACCAAGCAGTGGCTTCAAGTCCCGCCTCCTTTCACCTCCCCGGTTTTCTCCCACGAGATTGCCCATGTCGGCTTTGTCTCCGATTTCGATTCCCATGGCGTTTGTTGGTTCAAGATCGTGCGCTTCCCCCTCAGCTTCGATTCTCAAGGCAGACGCTCCCTCGACCTGCAAGTCTTCTCGTCCCAATCCTGGAAGTGGATGGCTGTGAAGGTGTCGTCTCTCCCACAGCCATTTGGGCCGGACAAGAAAATGCAGACTATTGTTGCAGTCACGCTGAAGAAGAATGGCGACGATTCCACCCCTCGTTTGTGCTGGATGTTCAAGGGGTCCCAAGCGATCGTATACGATCCCATCAACAATGTGGTTGATGTTGTGATTAAGGTCATACGGCCTTCGAATTTGGGAACTGTTCAGGACGTGGTATTTGATGGGATGTGCGTTAGCAAGGGCCAGTTGTGGGCAGGAAAGCTCTTTGATGGAATGAAGCTGAAGATCTATAGGGCTTCAGGGAATGAATGGGAGATGGTGAAGGAGTTTGATATGAAGAGTGTTAAGAACAAACACAATCGCGATCATCACATTCAACAACAGATTAGAAGAATCTCGTTCAGAGCCTTCGTGACTATGAACCCGGATGATCCAGAACAGGTGTACCTCAGGTATAACAAGTCGTTGGCCCTACTGGATATGAGATGTAAGACCTACAAGGTCGTCGGAGCTTTGGACATGGACAAGGACATCACTGTTAGAGCTTTGAACCGCAAGCTCGAACAATCGGCAATCATATGTGACAACCCACTTTGGCCGACTCCACTCCCTTCTCCTTTCCCATCTTCTTCTTCTTAGTGGCTTTGATTTGCTTTGCATAATATATTACAAAATGAAGTGGCTATTATCTCTAGAGTTACTCATCAGAAGCGTAGTTGAATTTTTCTTATCCTATGTATTCCCTAGTTGAGAACAGAGAAATTTTCTTCTTCGCAATGGGATTTACTTGTTGCAAAATATAGAAGTTTTTGTTTATATCTCATTTCTCCAAGATTATTAGTGATCTGAAAACACTTGGCTGAAAGGAGTTCAAATTCCGTAGAAAGGAGCAATATGAGAGAACAAGAGGAGCTGAGTAAGAATTTAGAGAGGAAAACGGGGAATGAACCCATTTGGATTCCTTTTGGATTGCGGATTCCAAGTTACCTACAAAGCGCTCATACTTTGATTTACTCTTTATCATTTCATACATGATGATTTGGTAAGTATATTCTTTTGATTAATCAAGAAACTTCTGATTCAAATGCAGATGATACACACCCATGACCCAACAAAATGGCCGATACTAACCGTTAGGGCGATGCAACTCACAATTGAATCCCCAAATGCTACAAAAACCATGCTTTCCAAAGACTTCCATTGTTTATCCATTCAAATAACCAACTACCCATTCAGTTTGTGTTCCTTTTTACAACTAGTCAAGAAGATGAAGATCCAAGAATTGTTCCCCCTTCAAAGCACCAACACTTCAAATTTGATGTAAGAAAAAATCCAACCTATGATCTCACTTCATACTGCCCTCCTCGTGTTAGAGCTCGAAAACCTTTGTAAAGGCGGTTTGGTATAACCTTGAGCTCCAGTTTGTCAATTTGCAGACCTGAGAGAGCAACGCCTTGTACCCTGAATCCTACTTGAAATGTTGGAAATACATGGAGACGATCTAAGCCGTTTTCCAGTAACAATGTCCCGGATAACAAAGGGGCTCTGTCTTTTGGTATTCGATCGATAGACCAAATGCATGTCTGCAATTTTATACAAAGAACAAACCATCAAGCTTCCACAAATGGACAATGATATGATCAAAACTCATCACTTCGTCACTAGTTTATTCATCAAGATTAGTAGTTAGTCACACACAATATGATAACAAAATCAATTTTAAGACCACTTCGTAGGATCTCACATAAGTAGGTACCTTATTCGAGAGAACATTCACAACTCCATGATTTGCAGTTAGATCAGTCGATGAGACACAAGAAGGCAGCTGGAATTGCACTGATATTGAGTCGATAGCTTTACCAGGGTCGTTCCGGATTCCAACCATGACACTGATGCGAGATGAGCCACCATCGGATGTAATCTGTGGCTTCACATACAGCGGAATGCTTTTCAATTTCCGCACCCTGAACAGAAGCACACACGAAGTTACTTCCTACAAACAACGAGACGAGATTGTAAGAACCAACAAGTGTCATGTTTTATGAGAATTGACCTGTAACTCATTAGCTTGAACTGTCCATCAGGAGGGACGAAAGACAGTATCTGATAAGACTCCCAAGGTCGATACCGAACACAGGGATGGAACCTGACATCGTCTAGAACAGAAGGATTCACAAAGGAAAGAGCCAAATCAGGAACCCCAGTGATATGGGAGTTCACTTGAACTTCACCAAAAACCTCACATTTCACCAAGATCCCATCCCTAGACAACACAAAACAAAAGGGAAAATATAGCTTAGCGTTTCCGTGGAAATCAAAATTTGAAGCGAGTTTAAGACTTTGAACTGAAAGAGAGACCTGGTAATAATTGCATCCATTTCTTCAACAAGGTCTACATAAACTTCGTTATTAGCATACTTAATGTCGGTCGTCCTCCAAGGGACACAAGATGATGTTGCACCAGGGAGAGTTTCACTCACGTTCGAACTATTACCCGTCACTACACTCAGCATCTTGCTGACAATGTTCGGTGGTGCTATCATCTCTCTAAGTATATTAGGTTCGGTAGTCAAAGGATGGCCATTATCCATCATCTCATCCAGCAGCTGCCAAACAATCAGGCAAGATACAAAGGTTATAATTACTAGTCATTCCAAATTGAAGGCATCTAGCATGCAGTCAAAATCACAATTCAAGTACCTCATACACAATGATGAAGTTATCCTTTATCACATCTTCATTCAACCCTTCCAAGTAATCCGACAGAACATCCGCCACTCTGCAAAGGAACTAGAGATTTAAGAATGTCAAAATGGCCCAGAACATGAAAAGGGTTGTAAATTTTTGCTACGTTCTTTGTTGTTTCTTTACCTCAATAGCCATTAAAGGTGGCATCTCAACCTGGGTGCAAGCCAGGAAGGTGATCCCCTCACGAACAACTTGGAAAAGGTAGTGGGTGGGAGAAGCAATTACAGGTTGTTGCTGCAGGGGAACAAAAAAAATGTAATCTTGTGAACCCTAAATTGACCATCTCATCAATTGCGCGAGAAGAAAAATCAGAGGATGGCTACCTTAAAGGAATCGCCATGAGAGAGAAGTTGATCCCAGAACCAGACGCAGATTGATCGGTCTACTCGATTCCCAGTTAGCTGCTTCTCCAGCATTACCTCTCTGTCAAACAATTTAATTGAATTAAGCTGAAACTCTTAGCTCGCAACTATGACAGATCAAATCGGGGAAAAAGGAAATTCGACTATTTTTTTCTTCTTCGTCCTTAAAGCTTGAGAATTGAACAAATGAATGAAAGGAATTAAGAGAATTACCCGGAATCGGAGAGGAGGAATATGCACTGTAACATTGTTTCTTCCCTTTGTATCGCTTGCTCGGAGACGATCTGAGTTTGGCCGGAGGAGTGAAACGAAGCTGAGCAGCTCGAAGAGAGCGGAAAGAGAAGCAGTTTAGTCTGGCACCGAAAAAGATTACAATAGCAACCTTTGGGTAAATAGCAATTTGGTCACTGAATTTTGTTTATTCTAACAAATTAATGAGAATTAAAATGGCTCCATCATTTTGGGTCACGTTTTTGTCCAAAACTCCAAATCTAACGTATAGACCTAAAGTTAATAAGACTGTCCACAGCAAGAAGGGAAAAAGAGGATAAAAGGGAAATAAGGGGAGGGTTTATCCTGCACTAGAGGTTAAAAGAAGGAGGGGAAGTGGGTGGGAGGAGGAAGGAAAGGGGGACCATGTGGGTGGTTTTTTTTTTGTTTTTTGTTTTTAAAAATTGTTTTATGGTTTTCTTATTGGATTTTTATGAGTTATTGGATTTTAGTGATAAATTTTTTTTATGTCCAAATTAAAAAAAAATATATCGAAATGTTCGTCTTAATTAATTAATACTACCTATATAAAAATAATGAATAAATTATCAAAATAAAGTTACCATATCAACTCTAGATTGATTTTGAAAAAAAAAAAACCCTCCTCAATACCATTTTTTCCCTACCACTTATTGTGGTCATTATCCTTCTCTCATCCTTTTTCCCTACTTTTCCCATCCTTTTTTTCCTTTTTTCCCTTCCACCATTGTGGATAGTCTAATAAAATGGTATATGGACTTTGACTAGGTTATATGATTCTCATTTTAGTTTATTTCTTGTCCAAACATGACACATCAGCTTATTTGGTGCAAACCTATATTACTTGAAATCACAATTTTTTCTTCATCTTACTTGATAACTAATTTGAGTATCCGTATAATTTTTCTCATCACTAATAAGTTGGCATGATAATCCAAACATTTTAGACAAAAACAAATTCCATAAAGATAGATTGGTGATGTCGGTTATTGTTAGTCAACATATTGGGGATAAAATAGGCTAAATTGCAAGTTTGGTCACTTGAATTACTAGTAAATTTCGCGTTAGCCCCTAGAATTATTTTATTCCATCCGTAGTCACTTAAATTAGGTTAACAGTTCAAGTTTAGTCACTGGCCGTTAGTTTCCGTTAACTTTTGCTAATGTGATGGTCAACTCTTATAGTTGACCGTTAAATGAGTGATGTGGCCATTAAAAATAATATTAAACTATAAAATTTAATTCTCTTAATAATTTCCAGGAACAAGCCCCATCGTCGTTGGAATTAGAACTCCAGCTGGACAAAACTTTGTTGGGATCAGAATCATTAGAGCTCTGCTTGAAAGTCAACAGGCCATAAACATCAACGGAATGGGCTGCGGGATGAGCATCATCTTTCTTTCTTCCATCAACAGCTAGATCTGTCGAGGAATTCAAATATTCTCCTTGACGGGAACTGGGTGGCCCGGGTGTCGGATTTTGGGTTGTCGCTACTGGGACCCGACCCGGACAGGGAGTACCCCGACGAAGGCGGCCGACACGGTGGGGTACATTGATCCGGGAAGAGGGCGATATTTAAGGGCGATGTCGGGGAAGGGACACCAACGAGTATAGTGGAGGGATCGGTTACTGTAACAACACATATTTTGTTGTTAGGGTGACAACACTAGCCTCCAAACCAATAGGAAGGTAGGGTTGTGATAACTTTTTATTAGCTAAATTGACCTAGTGTAAAATCAAAGCAGGGGTATAATTGTCATTCTTAAAATCTGTTTAAATAATAAAATATAAAAATATTTTTTTATATTCAGCCCAAAATTTTGGTCGCCGGAATCCGGCCACCGGTCGTCGGAAACTGGTCGCCGGCCACCGGAATATGCTTTTTGTTGCCGGAATATGCCTTTTGTCGCTGGAATATGCTTACCGGCGTCAGAATCTAGTCATCGGGGCCAGAATATGCCTATCGGCGCCGGAATCTGCTCACTGACGGTCATCGGAGTTTGGCCAACGGTTTTCATTGACCGGTCAACGAAAATCAATTCAACGACCACCGGATGTTATGGTCTGCATTGTGAGATTTATGGTTTGTTTTCTCATATTTTTGTATGCCTGTTGTGGTTTGCTTTATCGTGTTTGTGGTTTGCATTAAGAAGTTTCTTGTTTGCTTTCAAAAAACTTATGGTTTGCATTGTGAGGTTTCTAGTTTGTTTGAATATATTTGTGGTTTGCATTAGGAGGTTTCTGGTGTGCTTTTGCAAATGTTGTGGTTTGTTTTGTGAGGTTTTTGGTTTGTTTTAGGAGATTTGTGGTATGCATTAGGAGATTTCTGGTTTGCATTAAGAAGTTTCTGGTGTGCTTTCGAAACTTTTGTGGTTTGCTTTGCGAGGTTTCTGATTTATTTTAATATATTTGTGGTCTGCAATAGGACGTTTTTTGTTTGCTTTACCGTGTTTGTAGTTTGCATTAGGGGTTTTCTGGCGTGCTTTCGAAAATTCTATGGTTTGGTTTGTGAGGTTTCTAGTTTATTTTAAGGAATTTGTAGTATGCATTGGGAGGTTTTTGGTATGCTTTTTATAGTTTGTTTTACCGTGTTTGTGGTCTACATTAGAAGGTTTATGATACGATTTTTGTGGTTTGATTAACCATATTTATGGTATAGTTTATGAGATAAAAAACACAATAATGCATACACAAAAAGCTATAAAGGTAATGAATCACATCAATGTCCCCCCTCTCCATTCCTGCTCTGCAATCCAATTCTCCTCCGAGACGTGTAAAATTAACCCCATCAATATCCTCCCTCTCTATTTCTTCTATGCAATCCATTGATTCCATTTATTATCCTTCATCTTCTTCAATCGTCTCTGGTTTCCTTACACGCATACCCAAATCCTGCATTGATGTCTTTGCCGCCACAACTTCTACGATCAACGTCGGGGCCGGACCCCATCTGGTCCACTCTGGTGTGACCAGGAAAGATCTATGGACCGAAAACCCATCGAGAAGACAAACCAAGGACCCTATTTACTTGGACGGCACCATAGACATGAGCGAGCTCCTTTCTTCCTTCAGGCAAACAAAAAATGAGCAGGAACTGTAACGGATGTCGTTGGCATCACAATCAAGCTCGTTTTGATATTCTTCGACACCGTGACTACCAGCGCCAGCGGCACCACGCTCTTTTCAAAGGCCGGCGAAGTCACGGCGGCAACAACCAGGATGATTGTAGTCCGGAAGAAAGAAGAAAGAACGAGACAAAGAGGACGACTCAGATCTAAAATATTTTGCGTTCTCGTCACTGGCCAAAAATCTGGTGCGATGGCGCAGACGATGCTAGCGATGAGGATTGCCGCCGGAGAAATAAAGAATTGTTGCAGTGAGAGATAGATCTAACCGTTTCTGTGCTGTGGAGGGAGAGAGACATACCACGCTACGAGAGAATAATTTCAATTTTAATTATATTATTTTTTGTGTGTTTTACATTCTTGCCCTTAATGAATCATGTGGTTAATGTAACAACACATTATGTGTTGTTATACTATCCGCACCCTATAGTGGAGTAAGCAGCCGGGGTTGACATTTTTTTGTTTTAATTATTTTTTAATTTAGTATTGAGGTGGAAATTATTAAAAATTATTATTTTTATTTTTTTAATTGACAAGTCACTCATTTAACGGTCAATTATAAGAGTTGACCACCACATCAGCAAAAGTTAACGGAGACTAACGACAAGTGACCAAACTTGAACGGTTTACCTAATTTAAGTGACTATGGATGGAATACGTTAATTCTAGTAGCTAATGTGAATTTTGCTAGTAATTCAAGTGACCAAACTTGCAATTTAGCCGGATAAAATATGTTCTTTTTCTCATAACTAAGAATTAGGGATCAAATAAGAAAGATGGCCTGTCAAAAAGTGGCACAAAAAATTTACTTCATTCAAAAAGGCAGTTTCCAACATTACTTCTCCTTTATGCCAGAAGCCAATACATGTAAAGAAGATGATACAAATAGGGGTGAACAAACACACCCGCAAACCGACCCACCCGTCCAACCCGACCCAACCCACCCGTATTTATCGCTAAAACGAAGGTTTTGGGTTGGGTGACGGTTTTCTTTTGTGCAACCCGCCTCTTTTGGGTTGGGTTTGGATTTTGGATTACACAACCCGTAGAACCCGACCCAACCCGTGTTCCAACTATTAGTATGAGTTCGTATCTAAAAAATATTTATGTCGTATATAGTCATACTAATGTGAAAGTTAAGATATTTCGCCATGTTTTTCTATCATGGTCTCCCTAATCTAATGCATTCTTCGACTTAAAGTTTAGACATAAATTGAATATAATTATGATTCACATAATCATTTTTCTTGTATACAATTTTAATAGAATAACATATTATGGATGCATTTGTTTATAACCTTTTTAGCCTATTTCAACAAATATCGTGAAAAAAAACTAGACATATGTTGAAGTAAATCACATTTTATTAAAACTCAAACAACATTTGTGAATTTTGATACCTTTCATCTCGGTTTATTTGTTTGAAATTTTAATTAGTTATAAAATATTTTTATGGTGTATAATAATTATATATTTTATGTTGGGTTGGGTTTTTACTTAAAAATATCGTCAACCCGACCCAACTCAATTAGAAACAAACCGTAGGGTTTAAAATTTTTTGGGTGGATTTGGGTTTGATAATTCCCAAACCGTAGTGCATGGGTCGGGTGATTAAAATACTTAAACCCGAACCAACCGACCCATGTACACCCCTAGATACAAACAGAAAGAAAAACCAATATAATGGTGTAGTAATTTCTTTTTCTAGCCCCTACAATACTAGCTCAAAATTGTGGCCAAGTTTTTGTTTAACTGTGGCTCCTCCCTCCATTGTATTTCCCTCCCAGCTCACACCATGTATCATACAACAGTGAATGCCGATTGAAGGGTGGACGAGACTCGAGATGCAATCGCTTGGGATGCAAACTGCTGAAGCTGCTTCTTCGCATCTGCAAATCCAGAAACAGTAAAGTAAAATAGATCATTGCGTCCATCACTAAAAATTGAGAGCACAGAACAGAAGGTAAGATGAACTGCAGCTATCGTCGCAGCACAGAAGGTAACCGATGAACTGATGTAAGAAGCAACTCATTAGGCATCAAGCCATGAAGAAGAGGGCTATGGTAGGTGGCCAATGAGTCTCTTCATTTGAGCAGTGAAGTGGACAGCCCAAGATGGAGCAAACTAAAACTAACATCACCATGCTAAGACAGAACGGCAGTAGCAGTAAAATACTCACCTTTCCGGCACTTGGTGAAACCAATGATGTTTGCAACACTGAGAGTCAGGCATACACCGACGATGAGGCAGTAATCGGCTTGGAACCTTATCAGAGAGAAGATCCCAAGCAACACCCACAAAACTGCCTGTACATTACACGAATGCAATACGAAATTCAGCTCAATAGCAGTAGTAAGAATGTCAATTCTTGCTGTATCATTTTTGCAAAAGCAATGCTCAACATTTTCTACTTGCTTTACTTACCGTGAGATAGAGAGTCCACCAGAATAGCCATGCATCTTTCTTGTTCATTCGAGCCAATGACTGATGCAAAGCAAAACCAATTTATGAAATTGCAGCAACCATATTGAATTGCTCATACAAGAGAAATCCTCAAGGGAAGGGAAGTAAACTAAACAATGTGATGAAAATGTGATCTAGATTTCAGTTACAGCAGAACCTGACCTCTTGGTCAAGGGATTCATACCGCCACACGCTCTCACCGAGGTCGTTTATCTCATTCCACCACCTAAGGCCGACGAGAATCCGGCCACTAACATTCTTGACCACCCAAAAGTCGAGAGCAGCGAGAAGAACAGTTACCACGAATATGATCACGAAGTTGTTAATGAAGAGCGCTGAGAGTATGTAGAATGCCAACGATGCAGCCTGCAGAAATCGATGCCAACACAACACATTCTATCATATGAGCTAATTTAGAGGTGAATTCAAGTATTAGAGAAGAGGAGCGGAACAATTGGAATGCACCTTGAAAAGAACATGAAAGAGGCAAGTCCTCGGGTTGGCGTAATTCTCCTCAGGAGGCTGCGTAGCCAAACGGAGAGAGTTTAGGTAAATAATGATCACTTCAATTCAATTTTAGATCAAAACACGAAAACATCCATCCCCATTTCCCCCCGTTGATTAACAGAAGGAATGAAGAACGAATCAGAATTACTCCCGGATTCGATCTCGATCATCATTCCTATAGAATTGAATCTGGCAATCGCATTTTTCATGGTAAATGAAAATTCTTTTGAGAAGGAACAGAGCCAGAGAGTGGACTCACCGGATTGAGATCCATTAATGGGTTTTGGTGACTGGTGGATCCGGGAGCTGGTTATGGCGGATGGATTTCCTTGTTCCTTTGCTTTCGTCGTCGTCGTCGTCTTCTTCTTGTTTCAGGACGATTTACGTCGAGTTTTGTGCTTCTCCGCGCTGAGCTTCAGGAGGAGCGAAGTATGAAGAAAGAATGGTTAATTCGAAATTGGCTCTAGACATTTTCTGAGGGCCCAAAGTAACGGGCCTCTGAAAAGCTGGGCTAGCAGGCTTCTAAATCTGGCCCATTTCCCGATATGGATCCATCCTTGCAGGAATCGCTTCGAACTCGCTCTGTTCTTTCTTTCCCCTGTTTTGTGGCGACTAGCGACTGGCGAGATGCAAAGCAAAGCAACTGTCTTGTTGTTTTGCTGATTGTGGTGTGGACTGTGGATGTTCTCAGCGGCGGGCGGGAAACGGGAAGAATGATGAGAGGTTGTGATTATTTGACTTATCCCCATTGAATGTTTTGAAAAGACTGAAACAGAAGAAGATCATGGACTGTGGTTCAGATAAAAGAACTGCGTCTAAATTTTCCCCAGATTTCAGCATACCCAGAAAAGGGCGCTGGGGAAAAAGAAGAAGAGGAGATCACCCTAAAAACCCATGGCGAGAATGGTTTCATTACAGCAACAAGCCACGCACCCTGGTTTCTCTCTTCTCACTTCTTCCCTCTCTGATTTCAATGGCGCTCGCCTCCATTCTCAGCTCCAGGTCTTCTTCTTCTTCTATACGTTTAATTTCACTTTTTCGTTTGCCCTATCAGAACACGAAATCACCCTCCTGTGTTTTTGTTCGTGTTTTCCCAGTTCAAGAGGAAGATGGGTCTGCAAAACAGAGGAGCATTGCAGGTCAGTGCCTCCAACAGCTCCAAGAACATTCTGATCATGGGTGGCACTCGATTCATTGGTATCTTCTTGTCAAGACTTCTTGTTAAAGAAGGCCATCAGGTTTGCTATTTTCTTATTTATCCCCTCATCGTTCGTCTTTGTTTTCTCGTTTCATTCATACCCAACTGAAAACTAAAACCTTTTTTGGCAGGTGACGTTGTTTACTAGAGGGAAGGCACCGATTGCCCAGCAATTACCAGGCGAATCAGACCAGGATTTTGCTGACTTCTCATCTAAGGTATTCATTGACACAGCCACAATCTCCATTCATCACGATTGGCTTGTGTGTATGTAAGTGGTGGCTGTTCATTGCTCAATGCTCATTTGGGTTTGCTTCTCTTTGGTAAGATATTGCATTTGAAAGGAGATAGGAAAGACTCCGACTTTGTGAAGACCAGCCTCTCAGCCAAAGGCTTCGATGTTGTCTATGATATCAATGGTAGCATTATAACCTTGCCTTGTCTTCGTGTCTGGTCTAATCCCCCTTCTTGGATTCATTTTCTGTTTTGGCATTTCATTTTCTTTCTCCTTGTATTTTGCAGGACGTGAGGCTGTTGAAGTTGAACCCATCATAGAAGCTCTACCAAACCTAGAACAGTAAGGCTCTCTGGCCAGTTGATATTGTAGAACTATAGTTAATAGATAGTCTTCTCATGTGGGTGGTTGGGGCCTAATTTTCAGGTTTATTTACTGCTCTTCTGCTGGAGTCTACCTGAAATCTGATCTCTTACCCCATTCTGAGGTTGGTTATATACTTCCCTTATCTGCTGGGGATCTGATTTACTTGCTGAGCACATGAGTATCATTGTAGTTCCTGCTGGCTGATGTGGAGAAGGTTATGATTTTAGGTGGATGCGGTTGATCCCAAGAGCAGGCACAAGGGGAAGCTCGAGACAGAGAGCTTCCTAGAATCGACGGGAGTCAACTGGACATCTATAAGGCCAGTCTACATCTATGGACCTCTAAACTACAACCCTGTGGAGGAATGGTTCTTCCACCGATTGAAGGCTGGTCGCCCCATCCCAATTCCCAACTCCGGGATCCAAATGACCCAGCTTGGCCATGTCAAGTTTTGTATAAACTTTGCTTCCCTCTAATCATGCATTTGATATTGTAGAAAGGAAGATGAAACAAATGATTCATGGCTTGTTAATATACAGGATTTAGCAACAGCATTCGTTACGGTGCTTGGGAATGAAAAGGCCAGCAAGGAAGTGTTCAACATATCTGGTGAGAAGTATGTAACGTTTGATGGGTTGGCTAGAGCATGCGCCAAGGTACTGACCCTTAACCAAAGAGCAACATATTATCATGCTGTTCCAAAGCTGTGTTGATATGGGGGGCAAAAATAACTGAAGCATCGGTACTGTATTTATCATGCAAGGCTGGTGGGTTTCCAGAGCCCGAGCTTGTTCATTACAACCCGAAGGAGTATGATTTTGGGAAGAAGAAGGCATTCCCATTCCGCGACCAGGTACATTCATTCATAAACAGCAAAATGTGACACTCTCTGAATCGTCCGATTTTCTTCCTGAAGACAGACTGATTTGTTTGATTTTTGTGTTCTGGGGATGATGAATTTCTGCAGCATTTCTTTGCGTCAATCGACAAGGCGAAACATGTTCTTGGCTGGAAGCCGGAGTTCGACCTGGTAGAGGGTCTGACGGATTCGTACGAGCTAGATTTCGGGAGGGGGACATTCAGGAAAGAGGCTGATTTCTCGACGGACGACATCATCCTTGGGAAGTCTCTTGTCACGGCATAGAAGACACCCTCCGGCTCCCTTGATTTGCTTGGCGGAGTCTGCTCTACACTTGTACACTACTACACCTTTTGTAATTGAGATGTAGAACGAATGAGCATTCACCAGAAGCAAGAATGCATTGGAAAATGAAAACCAGCTTGCCTTTCAACTCTGATTTTAGTTCAACAGTCAGGTCCTGTAGCATGCAGTATTTGCTATTAGAGTGTCGAGTAAGTCTTGACAAGTGCACCTATCATTATCAATGTGTCTAGTCTAACAGCAAGCTGATAGAAACCTATTCCCGACGGGTTTCCATTATAATTAGGCCTAATACAAAAAAAGGTCCATAGTTTGGAGTTTGGGTCATTTGTACCTAATAGAATTGTAAGAACGATTTGCGGAATAAGAACGACACAGGATTTTGCGTGGTATTCCCGAGTATCGGGACTAGTCCACGGGAGAGCTTAACTCTCCGGGTTTGCTCTTATTACGATTTTGTATTGTGGCCAGCGGCCTGTACACCATATATATACCTTTTGGTACGTGGAACTAGGGTATTAGAGGAACAAGGAGGATTCCTTACACAACAAGGAATTTCAATACTTCCTACGAGAACCGAACTATTCATGTTCTATACATGGGCCTTGGCTGAGACGGGTTGCTGCTGCTGACTTTTCACAGGTTGTGAATTTTGGGCCACGACCATTACTGCCCCGCAAACTGTGACGTGGAGATCACGAACGCGCAGCTTGGAAAGCAGGAAATGGAACCTCTCTGCGCCGAGGCCTTTAGTAAACATATCTGCAAGCTGACACTGCGAACTGATCTTGGAGGGAGCGATGTCACCAGACTAAACGTGCTCACGAACAAAATAACAGTCCATCTCGACATGTTTAGTACGCTCATGGAAAACTGGATTCGCAGCAATGTAAAGTGCTGCTTGATTATCGCAGTAGAGAGTCGTCGGACCAGTCTGCGCGGCGCCAAGTTCCCGAAGCAGCCAACGCAACCAAAGTATCTCACTCACAGTGCTAGCCATGGCACGATATTCTGCTTCGGCAGATGAACGAGCAACCACCTGTTGCTTCTTCGTGCGGCAAGAAATGGGAGCACCACCAAGAGTGATGACATACCCTGTTGTTGACCGACGGGTGGACTGACAACCACCCCAATCTACATCATAATAACCGGTAAGTTCAAGTGAATTATCAGTAGGGAAGAAAAGACCTTATCCTGGAGCGCCCTTGAGGTAGCGAAGTATTCTTTGCGCGGCATCCATATGAGCATGCGTAGGTGCATGAACAAACTAACTAAGAATGTTGACCCCATAGGCGATGTCCGGTCGAGTAACAGTAAGATAGAGAAGTCGGCCAACCAATCGTCGATAAGCAGCTGGATTGGGATGATCAGCCGGGGTGGGTCGAGTGAGACGATGATTTTGCTCGATGGGAAAAGCACTAGGGCGACTACCTAGCACACCAGCATCATCCAAAATATCCAGAACATACTTGCGTTGGCTGAGAACCATGCCTTCAGGAGCCCGAGCAACCTCAATGCCTAAGAAATACCGCAGTGGACCAAGATCTTTGATGCTAAACCGATTATGAAGAAATGTCTTGACTTGCGAAATAAACTCAAGGCTAGTACATGCCAAGATGGCGTCATCCACATAAATGAGTGCAACAACGTGTATACTCCCTCGTCGATAGACAAACAGAGAGTGATCTGCCGGGGATGGTCGGAACTGGAGTTCATGAAGGGCAGCTGTGAACTTATGATACCAATTCTGTGATGCCTGGCGTAATCCGTACAAGGATTGTGTAACCGACAAACACGAGTCTCCCCCGGAGCAACGAATCCTTGAGGAATACGCATATATACCTCATCATCCAAATCACCATGGAGAAAGGCATTATTGAAGTCCAACTGATGAATAAACCACCCCTTGCTAACAGCTTCCGCAAGGAGACATCGCACTGTAACGAGCTTGGCAACGGGAGCAAACGTGTCGTGGAAGTCAACACCTTCCACTTGCATATAACCTTTAGCGACCAGGCGAGCCTTATAACGCTCAACCATGCCATCCGGATGAAACTTCACTTTATATACCCATTTGCAGTCAATGAGGCTCTTGCCAGGAGGTAGGAAAACCAAGCTCCACGTCCCATTTTCTTCGAGAGCCAAAACTTCAGCTGACATTGCGGCGCGCCAACGAGCATCCTTAACAGCTTCATAAAACGTACGGAGCTCAGGATGATGTGCAACAACTGCGAGAAAAGCACAATAATTAGTCGAGAATCGATCATAAGTAAGCTGTGTAGATCATGGAACCCAAGGAAACTGATCGGAACATCCCTCTTGGAAGGGGAAAACCGATTCATGGAAAGCGACGTCTCTGCTAGTGATGATTCGTCGGGACGACAGATCGTAAGCCCGATACCCTTTTTGACTAGCCGCATAGCCTAGGAAAACACATGCGCGCCCACGTTCTGAGAATTTTCCCAAACGCGCATGCGTATCCTTACAATAAACTAGACAGCCGAATACGCGAAGGTGTTGATAAGCTGCAGATTTTCCAAACACAACTTCGTAGGGCGTGCGGCCTGTAGCCTTGGTAGGCAGTCGGTCAAGTAAGTAAGCTGCCGTAAGTACACACTCTCCCCAAAATCGGATTGGCAAAGAAGCTTGGAAACGATGTGCCCGTGCTGTCTCAAGTATATGTCGATGTTTGCGTTCGATGACGCCATTTTGTTGAGGTGTGTCCGTACATGAGGTTTGTAGAAGAACTCCGGGCCATTGGTAGAAAACTCCGGGCCATTATCGTCTTGAGTCTTCTTCACCTGCTTGCCAAACTGAGTGCGAACAAGATTGCAGAACATCTTTATATAACGTCCAACCTCTGACTTAAAACGGAGTAGATAAATCCACACACCATGACTAAAATCATCGACTATAGTTAAGAAATAATGAGCACCACTGTATGACGGAGTATGATAGCCTCCCCAGATATCCAAGTGTAACATCTCAAAACAAGAAGTAGAGCGAATCCCACTAACAGGAAAAGGCGTTCGAGTTTGTTTAGCCCTTGAACATGAATGACATAAATCAACTGGTGACTCAACTGATAATGAAAGACTCGATCTGAGTTTCTCCAAGACTCCTGCCGAAGGGTGACCCAACCGTGCATGCCCAAGCGCTTCCCGGCCATTAACCACAGCATTGGCGCGCTCTCTGCAGCCAAACAACTTTAGAAAATATAAACCATCTCGAATCTCCCCCTTCCCAATCACGTTCTTGGAGTGTAAGTCCTGTATAACGTAGAAATCACCAAGAAAAATCAATGCCACATGATGTTCTTGACATAGCCGACTAACAGAGAGCAAATTACAGTTGAACTCTGGAACGTGCACAACACGACTAAGAATCCGATCATTACTTAGTCGAACAGACCCTATGCGCTTCACAGGAATACTGGCCTCGTTTGGTATCCGAATGGGCTGACATGACATGTTATCATTGTATGAAAATAAAAGAGAATCATCCATGACTATGTGTTTGTTGAATCCCGAATCAATAAGCCATTCAGGTTCATTTGATAAGGAAAACGTACCCGCCATGTGGCTAGAAGGGTCGACAGCTCCTTGAGCCAAACTTCCCAAGACTTGCTTCAGTTGACTTAATTGTTGAGGGGTAAAACCAGATGCGGCACTTGGTTCGGACTCGGCTTGCGAGGCTCGGGGCTCACGAATCTGGCCACGACCCCTCCCTTGATCGCGAGCGTTGCGATTGCGGCGGCGATCAGATTTCTCCCCTATTTGTCTCGAGTGGGCCAACCAATAAGCTCATAACAGCTCTCCTTGAGGTGGCCGGACTTGTGAAAGTGTATGCAAGTAACCCGTTCCCTGTCACCTGATGCGCGCCCTTGACTACCGCGTGCTTCAACACTTTGTTTCCCAGCATCCTCATGTGCGGCGAAGGCATCAACCTCTTGAATGGGTTTCCGGTTTTGAGTAATAGACCTTTGTTGCTCATCATTGAAAACAATACGAAAAGCTTCAGGGAGTGAGGGAGTAACCTCCATGGATAAAATCTGACTACGGACGGTAGCATATGATTCGTCTAGTCCGAAAAGAAAGTCCAGCAATCGCAAACTTTCATTTTGGTCTTGACTCCTGCGGCCACACGAGCATATCGGCGGCGGAAGAATAGACTGCGTCTCCTCCTAGTTTTTGCGCAGCTTGGTATAGAATCTAGAGACCAATTGTTTTTCTTGTTGCAGCAAGCAAATATTACGTCGTAGTTTGTAAGCTCGCGTTAAATTACCTTTGCTAAAACGATCACGCAGATCTTCCCAGATTTCCTGAGTCGTTTTAGCATGCATCACACTGCTACGTAATTCCGCATCCATGGCGGTACGTACCCAACCCTTGATGAGTGCGTCACACCGCATCCAAGCAAGAGATTGCGCCGATCCTTCTTCTGGTCGGGAAATAGAGCCATCCATAAAACCAATCTTATTCTTTGTGACGAGGGCATCCGTCATCTCCAGGACACATTCACTGTAGTTCGATGCTATTAATAGGCTGCTCACATGGAGATGACCCGTGCTATCACTCTGATGTATGAAAAGAGGGTTTGCGACGTCGAGGTCCCTATTGACATGGCCACTTTCGCCACTGCCGCCAGAAAGCTTGGATTCACGCGTTCCTGAGAAAGTCGAATCCTTCCCATACATGTTGAAGAATCAAGTATTGGATCAATGCTCTGATACCATAATAGAATTGTAAGAACGATTTGCGAAATAAGAACGACGTAGGATTTTACGTGGTATCCCCGAGTATCGGGACTAGTCCACGGGAGAGCTTAACTCTTCGGGTTTGCTCTTATTATGATTGTGTATTGTGCCCAGCGGCCTGTACATCATATATATACCCTTTGGTACGTGCAACTAGGGTATTAGAGGAACAAGGAGGATTCCTTACACAACAAGGAATTTCAATACTTTCTACGAGAACCGAACTACTCATGTTCTCTACATGGGCCTTGGCTGAGACGGGTTGTTGCTGCTGACTTTTCACAGGTCGTGAACTTTGGGCCACGCCCATTAGTACCCCTATGTTTATCCCGCGTCACTTTTGTCCCTAAGATTATAGTCCGTCAACCAGCTCTGTTAGTTTTTGACGGTCAACTGTTGACCGATGATGTGTCAACCAAAAAAATGATTAGTTTCCATGTCATTACAGAAAACGTGATTTTTTTGTAAATTATAATTACCGGAAAAAAATTTAAATGCAAAGTAAAGTAAAAACAAAGTAAAAAGGGGCCTGGCTTTACTCGATCCCAAATCTCTCCTTCCCTTCTCCTTCGAAAAGCTCCCAACCCCAACGAACAACGAAGATTCGTCGTCGATCTAGGAACGGAGGAGCGTGG